ATTTACAATGAATGAACGTGGAGACTTCCTGGATTAGTTTGTATTTCCAAGGATGGTTTCTTCTGTCATTTTGATGTTTTTCCTCCCACTGGGAGAAGTTTTTACACCAAAATTGATCGGCTAGAGCTAAAAGCCGGTCTCTGCCAGAAAGGAGTCGCTTATTGTGTAAATCTGAGTTTATTTTCTATCCTTACCCCCAATGGGGAATGCAATTTGTGGGAATATCAGGTGTCTTAGCCCCATTTTGACGGATCTCTTGGTAAACAACGGTCATCTTCCTTATCATCATTAAAGTTCTAAACGCTGAAATGGCTTACAAGCAAAAGGAAACTACTTTGCATATATTTTATACAGGAGAGCAGCGGCAAAATACAAGTATATTTAAGTGTTTAAATAAACGTCATTCTTTTGGAAGAATTAATGTGGTACAGAACAGCGCTTCCCAAACACTGATGTGCCTGCAAACTGTCCGTGGACCTCATTCAAGGTGGATTCTGACTCTGCAGGTCTGGAATGGGGCCTGAGAGCCTACATTTCTAGCATATCCCCAGGTGATGCTGACACTGAGGTCCATGGACTACACCTTGGATATCGTTGCTGTTATTTAGTCACTTCAGTCGTGTCTGACTCTTTTGCAGCCCCGTGGACTGCAGCTCGCCAGGCCCCTCTGTCCATGGAATTATCTAGGCAAGAATACTGGGGTGGGTTGCCATCTCCTTCTCCAGAGGATTGTCCCAACCCAGGGATTGAACCCGCAACTGCTGCATCGAAGGTGGATTCTTTATCACGAAGTCACCAGGGAAACCCCTACATGTTATATAGGAAGGGCATAAACCTTCCCTTATTAGGAACATTTCCAGCTCTTTTAAAAAAAAATTCTGGATTACCTTCATTAGATCATTAAAAGAGGCATTTTGCTCAAAGCCAAATGTCTGTAATTAAAAACTCTAGAAAGAAGTGTCTGATTTTGTGTGTGTTTAAGACAGCCGACTCATTACTACAAACTTGAGGCATGTACAGAATCTTTTAAAAATTATTCTCTAGTCTTTATCATTCACACGCAGTTTTCGTTCCCATTTAATACTTATTAACTCATTAGGGGCTTCCCTGGTAAGTTAAAAAATCTGCCTGCAGTGCAGGAGGCTCAGATTCAATCTCTGGTCTGGGAAGATCCCTAGGAGGAGGGCATGGCAACCCACTCCAGTGTTCTTGCCTGGATAATTCCATGGACAGAGGAGCCTGGCAGACTACAGTCCATAGCATCATGAAGAGTCGGACACGAGTGACTGACGGAGCACATACAGCATGATCATACTTATTAATTCAAGATTAAGTGGTAGTTTCCTAATTAGGAATGAGATGGCAGGTGTTCCAAATGTAGGAATGGTAGATGCAAATGCCCGGAGGCTCCCCTTGGAGAATCTGTTCTCGCAAACGAACACCCTTATATCTGCCTTGACCACACGGTCCAATTGCTTCCTACTCTCTTGGTTTATTTATTAATAAGGACCCCTTTCACTCTCAAAGCGTCCCAGTTTCAAAAGTAAAGTAACCAGAGAATCACTCTACATACAGCCCATAGTGCCGGCAGGGTCACCTGACATTCAACGCATTGTTGTCCTGCACTGCTGATTATTTCTGCTGTGTCCGTGTCTTAGGTTTCCAATGAAATTGCAGTCTCCTTTAGGTTACCAATAATCGCATTCACTCGCTTGATCAATGTGTATGGAGCATTCTTCAAAACAACCTGAAGGCCTGGTCCATACGCAATTACAAGCTGGAGTCGGAGAGCGCTTGATGTCAGAAAACACGTCTGTTCACGAATATCTGGGTAACACTGGTATCCCTGGTAGAGCACATCTCTCCGTCCATCCGCCCACCCACCCAAGCTGTCCGTTCTTCTGTCTGTCCATCCATCCACCCACCCAAGCTGTCCGTTCTTTTGTCTGTCCATCCATCCACCCTCCCCTCCATCCACCCGCCTACACTTCCACCCACCCCTCCATCCACCCATCCATCCATTCACCCTTCCATCACCCCACACTCATCCTCCCACCCATCCACCCTCCCATCTATCCATCTATCCAAACGAAACCTTACTGAGAGCCATTCTGTGCCAAGCATTGGGCCAGGTCCTAGGAATACAGCAGCAATCAAAACACAGCCTCTGCCTCCGAGACTTCTTGTTCCTTCAGATAGAGATGTTTATTGACTTATTTTTTAAAACAAACATTTTTTTCAATTCTGTTTGGAGAAATGGGAACAATAAGTGAATATCTACTGCGAATGAACAAAGGTCTGGAAGCACAGAGACCATGATTTTGCCGACACAGACGTCTCTCCGTCCTCTGGGCCTCAGTTGCCTCGTGTGTGAAATAAAGGCACTTGAAAACTGTTGGGTTCCTTCTACTCTTACAGTTCCCTTATAGGAGTTAAGATGCTTTCTTTGCTCCTGCTGAAGATTTCTAGGAAGAGGATTTTGGAAAAGCTTTGAACAGGATTTCCCTGGTGGTCTACGTTCCCTTGCAATGCTGGGGACACAGGTTCTATCCCTGGTCCGAGAGGATTCCACATGCCTCGGGGCAGTGAGGCCACAGCTACCTCCACCCCGCGCCTACAGCCAGTGCTCCGCACCGCGAGAAGGCGCCGCCCTGAGAAGCCTGCACCCGGCAACCAGGGGCTGGGCCCTGCTCGCCGCAAACAGAGAAAAGCCCATGCAGCAACGAAGACCCAGCACAGCCAAAAGTAAATAAAACAGAATAAATAAGTACATAAGTAAATAAAAATTTTTTTAAAAGAAAAGCTTTGAACAGCAGAGGGGAATAAGATGGTAGTGGTCTTTGGGATGGGCACTTAGCTTTTGTATGCTTCCTTTTTTCAATCTTTCTCAACTCTGTCATCAGTTTACCAAGATTTACCAAGTTTACAGTTTATCAATATTTCCTTTTTTTTTTTCTCAATTTCTTTGCCAACTGTCCAGCCACAGTTCTCCCTTTCCTGGTCCCGCGTCCTGTCTGTCCGTCCTCCTGGCTTCCTTCCCTCCCGATGCCATCAAGCCTCAGTTTTGCTCTCATCTCAGTTCTCCCTATCAGTTTCCACGTCTGTGGACTCAGAATTCTTCCTCACACACCGCCGCAAAGTAGACATGTGCCACGTAACCTGTGCTATTGATACACATTCTTTACGCTTTTTCTCGGGCAGATGGAGCAGCAGAAACCTCCCGCCTCTTGGAAAAGCTGCCCCTGTGACTTGATGTGTCAGGAAGCTGCCTGCCCCATCCTGTGGACGGCAGACTCATTCATTCATTGGCCTAACAGATACGGATTAAACACTGCTATACACAGCACTGTGTCAAGGCCCAGGGACAGGGAATCCAAAGAAGGGTAAGGTTTATTTCTCTTCTTAGAACTTAAGATAAAGGGGAAAAGACGGACTTGTAAGCAAATAAATTAGGATGCAGTGTGAGAAACGCCCTATAGCCGTGGGAACTCCTGATGAATCCGGGGGATCTCACACACATGGTTTCTTCTCCTCCAACCTCTGCCCGTGTTCCCAGGGGACAGGACAGACGGGGGACAGTTCCCAGACAGGACAGACGGACAGACCCAGGGGCTTTGCGTCGGTGGAACAGACACATGGGCCAATCCTGTCTCGTCTGTGCCAGAATCACCACAATCTGAGGTTTCCATGTTGCAAATAAATGTGCCGAGTGTGGGTACATATTCTTTAGACAAAAAAGGATCAGGATACAGAAAGGCAGTTTAGACCTATGCTTTCAAAAGCGAAAAACCCCATACGTAATTTTGGGGAAAATCCATGGCTGAGGAAATGGGCGTTATGGTGGCAAGGGTGGGGTCTTAAGGGGCAGGGCGCCTCAGGACAGATTACCTACCCAAACATGAAGGAAGGAAGGAAGGAGGATGGGAGGAAGAGAGGTGGGGGAAGGAAGGGAGAAAAGGAGAAAGAAAGAAGGAGCAAGAGAGGAAAATCTGAGGTTGCGATGGATTTAAATCCTATTGACTCTCTTCAATCAAAATTCAGAAGTGTGTTAGGTCATGATCCATTAATGTCTATGGGTTTTTAGCAGTAAATCGTTATCTGAGTAGGAGGGAAACTGTCTGCATGGGGGTCAGGGCAACTGTCCAAGAAGGCGGTAAGCCCCCAGAGAGCAGCCTGGGTAGGGGCAGCACAGGCGAGGGGGCCCGGGACTCCGCGCAGGGGAGAGGTCCGCCTCCGCCCGCGGACACGCTCAGCCCTTCCCTGGCTCCAGTGGCTTTGGACACCCAGCACAGCACAGCTTCCGTCCCAGGCCAGGTCTCTCCAGGGACCTCGGGACTCCCAGGACCCGGCCCGGACCCGCTTCTTTCCCCGGCTCCCTCCCCTCCGCCACTGAGTTTTCCAAACTGGAAACCAGGGTCCTGGGCTTGGGGTCTGGGTCTCCTTCATCTGCCCTCCTTAAGCAGGCATCCCAGTCTGTCCAGTTCTGTCCATTCCTATTTCCGTGCACCTGAGTTCCAGCCAAATCATCTCAAGACTGCTTTAACGAGGGAGACCTTTCATGGGGTTCTGCACTGAAAGTCGTCTTTCCAGCCACCTTCCTGGAGCCCTGGAGCTGCAGCGAGCTCTCCCAGCCCACGTGTGAGGAGTCCCTCTCATGTCACCCTCAGGATAAACTCCAAACTGGGGAGCAGCTCACTAGAACCATCAGGACCTGAATGCGGCGATCGGGCTGGCCCTTGTCACTGCCCTGCCATGCCCCCAGCCATTGCCAACAGCACACAGAGCCCACGCTTACTCTCTCCCGGGCCTTTGCACAAGCGGCCCTCCTGACTGCCTGAACTTGGCTAACTTGTGTTTATCCTTCTAGGTCTCTGCTAGGCATCATCGCCCTAAAGGAAGCCCTTTCTTCCCCCTACTCCCCACCAGATGGGATGTTGACATTGCCCGTATGTGCTCAGGGAGCCAGCCCCACACCTCAGCCCACCGGCACCACCATCCTGACCCATGAGCCCAGAGCTGGCTTTGAGTGTGGCGATGCTCCTGGGAGCTGATACAGAGCAGATGCGCCGACTCGATGAAGAAAGGAAGGAAGGCGTGAGGGAAGGAAAGGAAAAGACTGGGATGAAAGCGCTTCACACTGTTGTTGGTCTCTTTACTTCTTTTCTAAAAGCGAACGTCTTCTTCCTCTCCACCCCCCTTCTGCTCATTAACACTGTAATATGTGGTTTAAAAATATCGATTAGTAATCTAGAGCTGGAGTTACCTTCCTCCTGATAAAACCAGATTGATTGTGCAGGTAATGAATGATTGTCTAGGACTGAATACTTAACATGATGGAGTTACTCCTTTGAGGGAAAAAAAACAAAACCAGAAATCAGTCACTGTGAACAATATACCACAGTGCTTAAAGGGCTTTCCTGGGGGCGCAGATGGTAAAGAATCTGCCTGCAATGCAGGAGACCTGGGTTTGATCCGTGGGTTGGGAAGGTCCCCTGGAAAAGGGAGTGGCTACCCACTCCAGTATTCTTGTCTGGAGAATTTCTTCCCAGACAGAGGAGCCTGGTGGGCTACAGTCCGTGGGGTCACAAAGAGTCAGATGAGAGTGAATGTGAGGTTACTCCGTCATGTTCGATGCTTTGCGACCCCATGGACTGTAGCCTACCAGGCTCCTCTGTCCGTGGGATTTTCCAGGCAAGAGCACTGGAGTGGGTTGCCATTTCCTTCTCTAGGGGATCTTCCTGACCCAGGGATCGAACCCAGGTCTCCCGTGTTGTAGGCAGATGCTTTACCATCTGAGCCACGAGGGAAGTCTTAGACAAGAGGTAGCAATTAACAATTTAGTCTCTGAGACACCTGAGTTCAGGCCTCTGTCTGCCATTTGCTGTAACCTTGGGTGAATTATTTGCCCTCTTTGGGTCTTAGTTTTCTTATCTATAAAATGGTATATACTAAGGTATGTAAAGAATTTAGTTCCAAAATTCTTCCAAGTCAGGATTTAATGAATACAATCACGACATCTGTGTAAATCTTCTTGTGAGAAACATTTCAAATCCTGTTCCAGCTTGGGAAAGACACTGTTATCACACTCACTCATGGGTCTTTCATCTAAGTCATAAATGCTCAGTACTAGAACTATCATAATTAATAAACATGTATGTGTTTCTTATCATCTATTCTACCTATTCTATCGTCTGACTAGTCACATCTTTGGGTATCAGACCTTGTTCTATGTTTAAACCTCTATTATTCTGCATCTTCATAGTTGATGCAGCTAAAGTGAAAGTGAAAGTTGCTCAGCCGTCTCTGACTCTTTGCTACTCCATAGACTATACAGTCCTTGGAATTCTCCAGGTCCAGAATACTGGAGTATCCCCTTCTCCAGGGGCTCTTCCCAACCCAGGGATCAAATCCAGGTCTCCCGCATTGCAGGAGGATTCTTTATCAGTTGAGCCACAACGGAAGCCCCTGATGCAGCTAAACCTCGTCCTAATCAATAGAAAATGTGACCCCTGGGAGTTGGGTGATATAATAAAATCCAAGAGTGGCATTGGCTTTGTGGAGAAAGCCAGGACTTGAATAGTCATGACACAGAGCTCATTAGTTGGGAAGTTAGTGACCCCTCGGATGCTGCGAAAGTGTTAGTCGCTCAGTCGTGTCTGACTCTGCGACCCCGTGGACTGTGGCCCGCCAGGTTCCTCTGTCCATGGGGTTTCCCAAGTGAGAATACTGGAGTGGGTTGCCATTTCCTTCTCCGTGGGATCTTCCCGACCCAGGGACTGTAGCCAGGTCTCCTGCATTGCAGGCAGATTCCTTACCGTCTGAGCCCCCAGGGAAGCCCTGGTGATGCTGTGATGCTTAGCAGAACATTTGATCCGACCATCGCCTGTTGAAGCAGCCAAAAAAGCCGTGCAGGCTGAGGGGGAACGTGCAGCGGGGGAAAGGGAGCACCTGTAAAGTGTCGGTTTGTATTGGTTGCTTCTTGTGACTTTTAGCCAAGACACGAACTTGGGCTGGAGCTCTCCCTCCCGCCAGCGCAGACGGGTGGGGAAACGCCTTCGCTAAGTGATGTCGCTGCCGGTGGTCAGAATTGACTGAGTCTTACACCTGGGAGTCTTACAGAGGTGAAAAATCCAACACATTGTCCCTCAATTCCTCATGGGGATGGGTTCCAGGACCCCCCTCCCCCAACAAAGATACCAAAATGTGCCGATGCCCAAGTTTTCTTCTATAAGATGGCCTAGTATTTGCATGTAGCCTGTGCCTACCCTCCCATGCACTTCAAATCAACTGTAGATTACTTACAACTCCTACAGCCCCATGTAAATTCTATGCAAATTGTTGCCAGAGTGTGCCAAACTCAAGGTTTTGCTTAACTTTCTGGAATTTTTCACCCGAGCGCTGTGATGCCCTAGAGGGGTGGCATGGGGGTGGGTGGAAGGGAGGCTCAAGAAGGCGGTGTACATGTAGATACACTTAGGCATATTTATACACATAGCTGATTCACTTTGTTGTACGGCCGCAATTAACACAACATTATAAAGCAATTACACTCCAATAAAAAAATATTTTCCCTTCGAGATTGATTGAATCCATGATCCAGAACCTGTGGGTATGGAGGGCTGACAGTGCTACTTGACGCAGACTGAAACGGCAGTCGGTGGCTGCGGGCCCACCCAGCCTTGGCAGGAGAGGGGAAGGTGGCCCCGGGCCTTCTCAGGCGTCTTCCCTGGGACTCGCTTCCAGACAGTGGAACAAGCCCAGCCAGGAAGGTCAGATGGGAAGCGGGGCTTGCATCCCACCCAGCTTTTCTTTCTTGGTTTCTGACAGTCTCAAGGACAGCCAATGACGACGTGAGAGGAAGGGGCTGGGCAGGGCTTAGGAGCTCCAAATAAAATGAACCATCAGTGACTTCGGGCTTAAAGACTGTTTCTAGACACAGTTCTAGGTTGAGGTAACTCACACTTGGAACCCACTGGAAGCAAACGGGTTGGTGGCTTACTATATTTGGACAGAAGCCCTCAGCTTGGCCAGCAAAAGCTTACAATTGTTCAGCTCTCAAAAGGACCCCTGGGTCTCTGCACCTGCACAAGCAAGAAGTTGGCCGTGGAAACCATACAGCTCCAAAGGAGACCACATCCTCAGTGCTCACGGCTCGGAGACAGCCATGGAGGAAAACGGACACGGAAGAACCTTCTAGAGGGCATGGCCAAAGGTTGTGGGAACAGTGGGCAAGGGATTTTCTTCCACGCTGCTCATTTAAACCTGGGTGTTCTGGCAGGAACTTCAGCAGCCATCTCGTACTCTGAGGATGCGGGCCGCAGAGTGCTGAGGAAGCGTGATGGCATCACTACCAAACCAGCCCTGGATTGCCTATCTCTAGATGTTACTAAATGGAGAACTAAATAAAACTCTATCTTATTTAAACCACTCTATTTTGGGGGTTTTAAATTCCCCCAATGCAGGAAGCTGAATCTCATCATGATTGATAGTCTCTGTGGGATCTGACCAATTGAACTTCAAGAATAAGGAGCAATTGATTAGCGATGTGGATTGGAGGTCTGGTCCACTGATGAGCTGAACTGTTGCTTGGGAGGTTGGAAAGAAGTATAAGTTTCTTCCGATAGCTCTGGAAACTGTCAGGGTTAGACTGAATTAAGATGCAAGCCTGATAAGATTTTCAGGATCAGAAAAGATTCCACAGTGACTTGCCAAATTAGAGTGATTACAGAGCGGACTCCGTGTCTGGCAGAGAGCATCCTGCCCGGCGTGAGACAGAGGGAAGACTCAGGGGTCAGGGCTCGAGTGGGAGCTGCCCTGTCGCCCCCTCTCTCTGATCCAGCCCCAATGTACACTGTTATCGAGAACGGGTGTTTCTCATGCCTGGTAATTTAGGAGGACTCATTGGAAAAAGTGTCAAATTTACTCTATTCAATTCAGTTCAATGATACCTGCCTTCAATGGGCTTTACGCAGTGCTTCTCAAGCTCCGCCCTCGGGACAGTTTCTACCAGGCGCGTCTCTGCCATGCAGGCTCCCTGTGCCTCCCAGGATGCTCAGCGCCGTCCCTGGCTCAGCCTTCCGCGTCGGTAACAATGCCCCCACCCCAGTGGTGACAACCAGTGTCCCCAGACATTGCCAGGTGCCCCCTGGGGGTGGAAAGTGTCCCTAGTTGAGAACCATTGGCCAAATAAAGATGTTCAACACACTAACTTCATGTCGTTAGCGTGAAGACGACAGAGCCTGCTGCTAGCTGATGTGCTAGGCGGGGAGAAGCTACTAGCTGGTGTCATCAGGAGGCAGGACAGGAGTACATTTTGGTTACCTGTACTGGATGGAAAGTATCCAGAGCTGTAGTGTTTTTTTTTCATTTATTTTTATTAGTTGGAGGCTAATTACTTTACAATATTGTAGTGGTTTTTGTCATACATTGACATGAATCAGCCATGGATTTACATGTGTTCCCCATCCCGATCCCCCCTCC